GTTAAATTTTTATCAAAAATTTATATTTAAGAAGTCAAAAAGTCAAATTAGATCTATTAAAAATAAATAAACTGAGTATATAGTAAATATATGACAATTGAAAAAAATTTTTAATCTAAATAAAATATTCAATAAAAACTATATATAGATGGAAAAATGTAATTTTTCATATATGATCAAACTTTATGTAGAAATTAAATTAAACAATTAAATCAGACTATATAAAATAATTCTTATTGAATATTTTTATTTTTATAAAAAAATAAATTATATCATTTATATACTGTATCATAAAAAAAGGTCTCATCCATAAGTTTGTGACCGGAGAAGTAAAATGAAGCAGTGTATAACATCGGATCTTTTTTTACCACTAATTTCACATTTTGACCTGTCTATTTCTATGCAGTCACCTTCCAGGAAAGATGTCTATACCTTCTTGCTCATCAACACCTTTGCATTATTGAGTCACCTACTACCTTCAAATTATTTGCTGCTTCTTTTTCATCCCAACCGATCCTCAATCTCTTTCACCGATCTTTCCAGCATAAAACTCTCCTCTTTTGGATATTCTTTTTCTGCTAAATCTTCTTGTTCAAACGCATCTCCACTTGCATATTCAGCTCCGATCCAGTTAGCATTCAGAAGCAAAGCTTAAGGCAAGGAAGGTATGTACTTAAATATATTATATATTTATGCTTCTAATTTATCTCTATATATTTTTGTTCCTTATACTTATTACAGTAGAACTTCTCAGAGAGCTGCAACCTTCTCATTAATACTGATTTTTTACTTTTTATCTAACAGTTACAATATCATGAAATTATTTTAATTACAAATAACTAAATCAACACTTTAGACTTCTAATGTAATTAATCAATACAATTCACGTTAATTTCCTTAAAATAAATTGTTAGAAAAACTAACACAAAAACAATCAAACAATATAGGCAAAAAAGAAATTACTACCTCCTTTTAATTTTAGGAATTCTAGTTTGATTTTTTAATTTGTCAAATATAAATTTTAAATGAAAATTTCATATATTATATAAATGATAATTAAAAAATTTTTATCAAATAAAATTACGTAACAAAGATTATGTATAAAAAAATAAATTATGATTTCTATAAATTATTAAATTTTTATCTAAAATTTATATATAAAAAA